AATGGTAGCGCTGCCATAAAACCTAATAAAAAAAATCCCATTATTAGAGTTGATATAGAACTAAAATACAATGGATTTACCACCTATCCCTATTAAAAACATCAGTACGAACACTTGTCTTCTAAACTATCATAGCCATTGCCTTGAAAGATATAAACTTCCAAAATAGAAAACACATTCTACTTTCCAGTGAATATTTCTGAGTAAACTAAAACATAAAATAAAATATAAAATAACATGACAACAGTAATAAAAATGCCATGCAACAAAACATCAACATATTTTACGGCAGCCAGTTGCCAGCTAATTACAATAAGAACGAATTCGCTATACGACGAATCATTAAACACCATATTTCTGCCGAAAATCCCGAAAAATATGTAAAACTTATAATACAGGGTAAATTGTCGCTTAATTATATTTTTCATTTTGCGCATGCGCGTAGTTTTTTTTTTTTTTTGTCGACTGCCCAGTAGAATCAGTTGGATACAATCTGTGAGATAAAAGAGCACCATAACGTAATTTACTCCGCTAGAATTTGGAAGCAGCCTGCTGTACTGCATGCCATTCGCACCGGAACCTTCAATACGAACATTTCAGTGGGTTTTGGTGTCAATTTGAGGAAAATGCAGATGATTCCGAAAGAGTTGGATGACTCTATTGGTGATTACAAAGGAGTTTGGAATAATCAGTAGTGATGGCGACCTTATGTCACCATTCATTTTCCCACAGACTAGTCCTTCCACCCTCTCATGGTCATTGTCTCGCAACTTTCGTCTGACTGAAACGTTAAAATTCTCTATTAGTTTTTTGACAGTTGTCGCAGTTAAATTTCTAATTCCGACACGAACTCAGTCTACATACCGAGGTTGAATAAGACTGACGAAGTTTTCGTCGGTTGAAATAGGTCTGTTCCCCTTAGGTGGTAATTTTTTATTTTTATGAACTAATTTACTTGCTCTGTATTAATAAATACATTGAACTCTTTTTATGGATCATTCTTAATATTTTATATTACCAAAATCCATTAGGATTATATACCAACAGATTTATTACCTTTACTATATATATATATATATATATATATATATATATATATATATATATATATGCTTGTGTGAGTGTGTGTGTTTTAAAAATTCAAATGGTACAGCTATTTGAAAAGTATAATCTACATGTTAAATTATTCAGTGTATCCTTTGCCATTCAGAATCTATCTAATCTATCTATCTATCTATCTATCTATCTATCTATCTATCCATCTATCTAATCTATCTATCTATAATCTATCTATTCATCTATCTATCTATCTATCTATCTATCTATCTAATTCTATCTCATCTATCTAATTCTATTCATATCATCTATCTAATTCTATTCTCATCTATCTAATTCTATTCATATCTATCTATCTATCTATCTATCTATCTATCTATCTATCTATCTATCTATCTTGTACCAGAACCCCTAATCACTGTTTTGTAATTGTATTTATTACATTACCGTGAAACCCATTTTCAATAAATAAATAAAAGAGATAAAGTCAGTAATTGTTTTTAGAAAAGACCACGGTCCGTGTTTATAACACTTACTCTACAGCAATGAAAATATGCTCCGAAAAGTACCAGAAAGCATTAATAGAAATCTAATCAACCGCTTACTGCATCTTCCATGTCTGCTTTTCGACGAAATACTCACCCGTTCTTCGTCCGTTTCTATGGATATATTTATTTAATCTCGTCACTCCATACTTTTGAATCGACGCAAAAAAAAAAAAAAAAAAAAAAAAAAAAGAAACGTACATCTGTCTTTCATTCAATACGCGATAGTAGTAAAACGAGCACGATATTTATTCAGACGGGCGTCGCTATGAATTTCTATCTTTGGGCCTCTTTTGCTCCCACGCACATACTCACGCGCGTGCGCACACACACACACACACACAAATAAATATATATATATATATATATATATATATATATATATATATAAATATATATGAAATAAAGTTTAAAGGAACACTTAACGTAGCCTACGTGATTCGTCCTCTGATAGACCTTATCAAGGCAAATGTAAGGATTAGTCTAGACACAGAGGTTCACACCAGTGTACCAAGAAAGCTAGGTGCCAGGTTGACTTAAGATGATTCCCAACCGAGTCATACGCTGTCAGGGATGACCCAGAGATAAGATGACTTGTAAGGCCGCATCTGATATGTGAGCACGTGCGAAAACAGCCTGGCAGCTGAATAGATAAACAGCCACTCCAGAGAATAGGGATGTCGTTTTTTGAAAGACACAGACGAAAATATAGGGTCCACGTTTTAGACGAGAGCAATGCCAGAAAGATTTTAATTTTTTACTGAAACAAGTCTTACTGCTTAATACCTAGCTGAGGGAGAAGATATGGATTCATACCTTGCCCAACCTTGAATTCATACCTTGCCCCTGGGTATTTGCGCTTAAGTGGATACAACGAACCCGAATGGAACTTGAACTCGGAATACAGCACCTTGTATTTCCAAGCGCTCACCCATCCAGATACTGACAAGGCCCAACGTTACTTAACTTCGATGATCATACGAGAACCGGCGTTTTAACATGATGTGTCTCTAAGGCAGACACTTTTTATAAATATAAATATAATGAGGAAAGAGGGCTTGGAGAATTTGACACGCAGATTTCATATTGGATGGAGGCGCCCTATGTATCAAACTTGTACAAATGTTTGACAGGGCAGAGGGTAGGAGAGATAATACGGTACAAGTCTTACTAATTAACCCATAGCTGGAGGGAGAAGAAGTGGATTCATACTTTTGTCAAGGGTATTTGGCGCTTAAGGGAATATAACGATCCCAACTGAAATTGGAACTCGTCACTCCGATTAACATTATTCGTTACACCATCTGCACATCCGAGCTTACAGCCCGTCATATTTCTAAGCGGTCACCCATCTAGGTAGTGACCAGACTCGACGTTGCTTAACTTCGGTGATCATATGGAAATCAGTGTACGAATGTGAAAATGACCGTAAGCCTATATAAATTGTGATTCTGTGAATATCAACTGACTGAAATAATTCTTTGAATTTAAATTTATTTTTAAAAAGCTGAGTCTAAATAACCAACTGTCTTCCTCTGCTGGTTGTCTTCCCCACTTATTCATTATCACACGTGATGTTAGTACATTTCTAAAGCTAGCATCTTTGAAACTTAAAAAAAAATGTATTGCTGACTTAAAGATACGGATTGTTGAGATATGCTCAGATTGGCATTTTTTTTTTTTAATTTACAGTATTTAAAATCGGTCAATTCTTTTTTTCCCGCTCTTAAAGAAACATGAGATTAGGATCCATAGAACGTGATTTTTCTGTAATTCAGATCCAGATTATATAAAATACGTACATTTCAATGTTAAGTAGTCACAAATAACTAACTGTGACAGCAAAAAAATTAAAAAACTTAAAAAAAAATTCTGCCTCATGATCAAATCAATAGATTTCGACTATTGGTTCTCTCCATCTGTGAAGGATTTCTCCATATTTAACCAGTCGTTTTTCTCTTCAACATATTGGGAAATTTCTTAATTGCGACTCAGCAATGAAAAATCTCTCAGAAGGTGTTTTTAGATGGGCAACACAACGTAATCTTGACAGGAGAGCCATTCAGTTTTGCAAAATTTAATTTTGCTCCATAAAATCTTGTCAATCTGAAATTGAAATTCCTGGATTATTTTATTAATAATTTTTTCGTTTGTTTGTTTAACGGCATATCTACTCCTTATGGGTCATTTAGTGCCGAAATTTAATATTCTTGGGAGCATTAGTGATTTCTGTATATATTGCTGGTAATTTTTTTCTCCAAAGTTTATTGCTGGTAATTTTTCCTTTACAAAAACGTATCGCGAGTATTTTTTTTTCCTTACAAAAATATCCTACTGCTAATTATTCATTTTTTTTTGTACAAAAACATATTACTAGCAATTTTCTTTTTACTATGAAAATTCATTGTTGGTACCTTCACTATAAAAATATATTTCTACACTTTCATAATGTTTTAAGCCCAGTTCTGATGTTCACTATTTGCCTATCACTGGGACCCTAACGACTGTTAACACCCCGAGTCAGGGTTAAACTGAGAACAACAGTAATTAAGAGATGGGGTAACGCTCCTCAAAACCTCCCGATCAAAGGCCTTGCTGCCGGATGCAGTTTATCGTCATGCCTAAGACAACCCTAACAGATGTTAGTTCCCCGGGTCAGGTTGGAGATGGTAACAACAATAATTAAGTAATATATATCTAAGTAACCAACTGTATTCCTCTGCAGACTGTCTTCCTCACTTATACATTCTCACACGTTTAAAACTTAAAAAAATATATATTGCGGACTAAAAGATGCAGCTTGTTGAGTTATTCTCCGTACTATGCTCAGACATTTAATTCTTTTTTTTTTTTTAAATTTAATGTATTTAAAATCGGTCAGACTTTTTTCACGCTCTTAAAGGAAATATAAGATAGGATCTATAGAACGTGATCAAAAGCCTTGCTGTCGAATGCAGTTTATCATCATAGATAGATAGATAGATAGATAGATAGATAGATAGAAATAGTATGAGATAGATAGATATGAAATGTCTCAGATAAACATGCATTTATATATATATATATATATATATATATATATATATATATATATATATATATATATGTGTGTCCATAAAGTTCGTGTGCACTTTAAAAAAATTTTTAACTTTATTTGTATTTGCGATAGAAATATTCTGTGAAAAATCTTATAAAGTTTAATGTACCTAGTTTTCAGGATAGTTAAAATAACTAATGCGATTTCAGGCATTACTGTAAATCAGTTGGCAAATGTTTTCCGTGAACTGCAAAATCGTATTACCCTTTGTATTGCTAATGATGGAGGACATGTGGAAACTTAAATAAAATTTCAATAAAACCTTAAAAATATAGATTTACTTCTTTTCTAATCCCTTTTACAAATTATTTCTATCGCAAATACAAATGAAGTTATAAATTTTTAAAGTACACTCGAACTTTATAGACACCCTGTGTATCTCTCTCTCTCTCTCTCTCTCTCTCTCTATCTATATATATATATATATATATATATATATATATATATATATATATATCATTGCATGCGTGGCAGTAAAGTTGATGTTGACTAGAAAGCAAGCTGACCGGAAGAGAGTTCCATAAGAGAGAAATATGAGAGAAGAAACTGTTAGCATAGAACTTACGGTTGCATTTAACTGTAAAACGATGAGATCTCGCTGTCAATCTAGTAATGCGCTTCATGAAGTCGAGGCACGAAAGAGAAAAAAACTCATCGGAACAATTAGCATGAAAGTATTTATAGAAAAGAAACAGGGAAATTACGTTACGGCGATAGATAAATGACTGAAGCCGAGCCTCTTCCTCAGGACCAATAACATTGCATATTTGGATTTTATCTAGAATCTCTAAATACATGGCAGGACCACCAGGTCATATGTTAGAGCGATATTCCATTCATGGACGAATGGTAGACTTCTAAATTTGTAAGTCAGTTTCTAGCGAGAAAAATGGTCTAGAATGGCACAGTGAAAAAACTTTCTAATAACTGATTCTACATAATCTTTCCACATCATTTGAACTGAAAACGTTAGACAGAGAGCGGGAAACTAGTCACTAACATGGAGGTTGGTATCGGCCTTGCCGATGGAAAATAAAAAGAGGTCCAGCCATCGTAGTCGGGATCATCATTATTTTATTTACATTGCTTGGACTGTTGTCCTCATATTTGTTGCCATATTTACAAAGTTTCGGTCGTTGTACGCGCCGACCTTCGTCAGGTGATCGAAATTTTGAACCGAACTCTTTATTTCGTCTATCGGGGTAGATTTTTTCTCGTTCCACGTGCCATGACTCTTTCTAATATCTCAATTTGAGTTATATCCCTTTTAACTCAACTTTCCAAGATTTTCTTCACCACTGCTTTAGCCAGGTATTGAACTCACAACTCTTTGGGTAAAGTCCATGAATTCCCCCAACGCTTTTATCCTTATGTGACAACATTCCGAGCAATGTAAATAGTGTAAATAATTGCAACGTTACATTTCAGAAATATAGACATATGTTAAATTTATCTACATAATAAATGCGAATGTCAGTGTCTCATAGATAGATAGATAGAAACAGTATAAGATAGATAGATATGAAATGTCACAGATAAACAGGCAATGATTTTGATTATATATATATATATATATATATATATATATATATATATATATTATTATTTATAAAAAAATTATAAGTATGTTATAAAATCACTACAAAATAGCCATTTTGTTTTTCAACACCCTCGGTGTCTTAATAATTATATCTGCTCTACTTTGTATTGAGCACATTTTTTAAGAATAGTATATATATATATATATATATATATATATATATATATATATATATATATATGAGCAATCGTAAAATATTGATTCCCAAGTTTTCATTACTGCTATTGTTTTCGGCCATTTTTTACGTGATTTTTTGCAACGAATTTTTTGTGCAATAACAATTTTGGAAACAAATTTGGGAATGATGGAAATTTATTGCGAAATTCATCAAAAGCCATGAAATGAAAATAATTGCTAGTACGAAAAGTAAGGACCTGCGTCCATCAAAATGTCTTTAAATTAAGTGGCGACAGAAGAATTATCGCTGAATTTTTAAAATGTAATCTTTAATATTAATGCAATACATAAATGCAGCGGCAAATTTTAAGTTCTTGTGTAGTTTATTGTTGCCTATCGCATCCACTCCTCACTATTGTAATGAAGGCCAAATCAAGAAACCTCCGCAGTTTAAATATTGCCCGATACGGCGTCTTTGAAGTTAGTTTTATTTGACATATTTCAACGACTTTTTTTTTTGTATAATTTCGTCTGTTTTTTTTTTGTTTTTTTCTCAATTTTTGTTGGTTGTCTTCTTTTTCGCTTTTCTTTTTACTTACCTTCTTTTTTTTTCCTTACATACTTTACGTTATGTAATTTAGTATTTATACAAACTGGATGTATCTTTCGAAAGTCAGCGCTATTTATTCCCGTACACAGCAGAGAATAAACAAACTCTTTCGTCCCTGGCATAGGTTATTATCTGTTTATCTGGGAAAGAAGCCGTAAGATGAAAAGTTCAGGTCTGAAGTTTTTCGTTTCTTCTTTCTGTCTTTGTTCCTCCGTCGTTCTGTCTGCCTTCTCATTCAAAATCTTTCGAAATTAACGAAATGAAATGTCTGAAGGCCCTTAAGCTAATTCAGTCGGCACAAGTCCCTGATAAACGTGGTTTTATAAAATTTTTAATTCATTTGAAAGTTTTAAATGCTTTTTGCTTGATGCAGGAGTATCTGAGAATTTTGTATTTTATTCATATTGATTCATAGCTTATTGATTCATTAACATCCAGTGTTAAATATGTTTCCCTTATTTATTTTTGTGATCTTTTGCCACTTTGTAGTTTGATGTCATAATTTTCGACATCATTTTGACTAAAACTTATTCATATAATTCCATAGAATGATGGGCACATTTTTATTGAATTTCTCTGATGTAGAGATGGTAGAATTAATTTAGCTCGAATTAAGATTCATCAATTGAAAATAATGAAAAATGTAAGATTTTACAAGTACAAGATAAGTACCATAGAAGATAGAATTTAGATTAAAATAAATAGAGTTCCATTGTTTTAAATATATCACTGATCATGGGGTATCCAAGAGCTTGCGAGTTTGAATTGGAAATTTCAAAGAATTGTTTATATTAGCTCTCCTGCAAATTACCGTCATGAACAGTAGGATTTATTTAATTTGTTAGTCAATCACAATTTCAATGTTGTTTACGTATTGAAATGAATTCAGCAGATATACAAAAACAGAAAGAGGCGTAAGGCAAGGATGTGTCTTCTCACCGGACTTATTCAACCTGCAATTCTGAGAGAACTGGCAATTCTATAACGATTCGTCTTTGGCGTTCACAG